ATTTCCAAATGTACTAAATGATTTTTTCATTGAAATGCATGATCAATGCTTTGAATTTTTTATTTAATCAACTGATTGATCCCTCATTGTCTACGACCTTGAAACATGATAGAAAACCTTATTAGTTCAGCATTAATTTGAACTACAAGAGTGATTTTGACAAATTGTTAAAAATCACAGATTCTCTCTCCTGAAAAATTTAATCTAGATAATTATTTTGGAACATAAGAAGTATTATTTTTACCTGCTACATTAAGGGTTTCTTGCAACATAATTTGAAGCATGGATATCAAAACCTATTTTTTCAAAGAATTAAATGATCATTTCGAGACGGATGAATCATTTAAAAAAACAAATTGAATTTCCCGAGCTTGAAGAGTAGTGAGTTCACAAAATAATACTCTCTCTGTCCCACATGATTGTTTCGATTAGAATCTTAATTTTAGGTCAAATTATACTAAAAATTAATTTTGAATCGGACAATAAATGTGGGATGGAGGGAGTATAATATTAGGTTATTATGTCTTGTTTACCTCTCTCTCAATTTTATTTAATTGTAATTCTTTGTTGAGCTAAAAAGCTTGTTTACATAGTGATTAAACATAGAACTTTCACAACAATATTCCAACTAAAAACTAATCAAAGTGGTCAGGCGAAACAGAATTTCACATATAACGTATAATTAAGATTTAATTACAATTGTACGAAAGTTTGATAATAATTACCATATTACGAAATTTGTACGTATGAAATCATTTTGTATAGGAAAGCATTTGAATCACCCTAAAACTAGTAGTAATTGGACAGTACTAGAACACTAAAGTAGAAATTTAATAGGCAATGTATAACTATCAAAATAGTTAAAAAAAATTCAATTCATAACTTCAATAAAGTCCTTATTATTCTCTAATTAACGTAGAGTAATTATAAAAAAATAATAATCTACATAATGATGGTGCCTACTTAAAACTTGAATAGCAAATATGATTCCATTCTCAAGCTAGACATTAATTTTTTTTTTTTTGAGAAACTACATTAATTAATTATTAAATTCTCGAATAGATTGTTTTTTCCATTCAAATGTTAAGAGGAATAAATAAATAAATACATTATCGATAACCACTTTCCCACATCCAATCATCAAACAATCAAGCAAACTGATTTCCCCATGACCCGTACTTCTATCCCTTTCTCTCTTTCATAACGCCTCTTAAGTTGGAATAAATTGTTATCATGAAGCAAACATTAAACGGTATCAAGAAAGATTACATCTTAAGGTTCGTATCGAACATTCGAACTCCGTTGTTTTCCTGGTTTATTTCATTAAATATATTTCCACCATGAATTAATCTAACGAATTGTTCATTCGTTTTGTTTGTTTGATGCAAGGTTTGATCAATCATTCTGTGCATTGGAAAGCTTGAAACATAATTTTTCCTTAGGTTCGCGCAATTAATAGCAACTAATTTTGGCTTCAACAACCGAGACTCAACCACGGTATGATTTGTTTCTTTATTTATATTTCTTGTGTTTTTTCTTAATCCAATTTTTTTTTCTTCTTTTTGTCTTACAGTTTTATGGAGTTCGGTTGAATTAGTCTTGAGGAATTGATCTATTCAGGAGGTCAAGATTCTAAGTGTTTTCTAACATCATTTGTGCAACAAATTAAAAAATCACATCAGGCCGGTTGAGGTTTCCTAGAATCAAATTTGGAATTGGGGTTTAAATGAGTACTTCAGCTCCACATACTTTTTACTTAATAGCGCAATAATTTTTGAAGAACTAAGCGAAAGCAAAGGTGGGGTGGGATTGGGCTTTTTTCTCTCTGTTTTTTTTTTTGGGTGTTTGGAGAAACAAACAGAAGCAAGTAATATTCTGGCCGCCAGTAGCTACAAAACTACGTACTCCGGCCCTTCCCTTTCCCTCTTCACCTCCTTATATATGAATAAGTTGGGAGTGAGATTGTCCCTTTCATCAGGCCAAATTTTTTTCCACCTTTTAGAGTGTTTATGATACATACAAATTAAGAAGATAGACAATCCGCAAAAAGGTGTGGGGGAATTTTTTCATCACACTTTGGATAGTCCGTATCATTGTTTTTGTAGTTGTTGATGTTTAATGGTGCATTACTTTTATTTTGTTTCATGGTATCTTTTATTTACTTTTATAATGCAACGTGCAACAAGAATGATAAGAGTTCAAAATCCACCTTTAATCATTCAATTTGATGACACTCGTAAAAGGATTGTTGGGCGGAATCGTCAAGATTTTATATTTTCAATACACTGTAGTTTGGCCATGTTAGCTAATTTTGATGCACCCAATTTCGAAGCACAAGATGAGCAACTTAAAGCCGACATCATTTGTGTTGCATTGGTATTGTCATATTTTTGTTTACTTGCATTAGTAAGATTAGTAAGACTTGTTTGACAGCATTCACCGTCCATACTCTATTTTGGCGTATTTTTTTGCTTCTTTTTCTAGGAAAGCTTCCAATACGAGGATAGTCCTTATGCAAAGGTATGTATTAGGCATCAGTTTAAGACATACTTCATGATGCACAAGCATACAATCAAATGTAACGCCAAAGTAAGTTTGTGTATTCTTGAATTGCCATAAGATTTGCTCCACAATATGAAGCTTGCAGAATTTCTAATTGTTTTTTTTCATAACATTATGTGATTGCAGTGAATTATGGGAAATACTTTCTTTGAAGACTTTGATCACTTGGCAATGTTACATCTTCGTTCCTGTTCCATATGTATAAATGATGTAAGGAATGCGCCAATGCAGTCGTGACTTTTGGCTTTGATACCTAATTATTCTGTTTTATTTTCAATTAGTATTTGTATCAAATATTTTGTAATAATTTTATTGATGAATCAATTTTTTCTATATATTTTGTTAATTTTGAAATGGCTACGACAACAATAATTTGATTCATTAACTGTCGTCCATAGTACTTTATGTGCAAGTGAGCAATTGTAACCATCAAGTTGTGGTCATTAAATATTGACCGTAGTTCCCTCTCTAATATCTTTGTGCAATACTGTGATGACTTGTTGTTGACACTGAGCTTTGACCATGTCCTTTTCATTTTGCCACTAAAACAGCTGACAAATGATTTTAATGACAACAAAAATGGTCGGTGGAAAAACCCGGTCGCCAGAATTAAGGTTTTTAATTGCAACATTTTGTCGTCACCATGATAGGATGACGTCACTTATTCTTGTCACTAAAGGCGTTGACTAACAATTAGCAATGACGTCTAAATGCGGTGACTATGAAAAAGGTGGTCACTTAGTCATGATTTTTAATTACGACTATTTGTTGTCTCAATGAAGCGCTGACGTCACTTTTTCTTGTCATTAAATAAGTTGACTGTTACGTACATTTGACGGCCAAATATAGTCACTGTTTATTATGGTCCTAAAAGGTCTGGTTTTAGTGACGATATAAAACTTCTAATGACCAATATGAATGACAATATTTTGTTGTCATTAATGCTAGGGACTACCTTTTATTGGTCACTAAAAGGTATGTTTTAGTGTCGAGACTGACTTTGTCGTCATTAAAATGTACCGGCGACGACACTTTAATGACGAAATTTTGACCACAGTATTGTTGTCATTATATTCTTTTTGTGACGACTTTATGAGATTTAGTGACTACATCACTTGATCATTAAACACCCCATTTTCTTGTAGTGTCTGTTGCACCCTATTTTCACAAACTGGCTTGCTGTAAAGATTATGTGCATCTATTGAGATACCAACAACGGCCAACCCCCCGAATTTTGAGGGATCTTGTACTATAGACACGTCACGCCATTTGTCGACATAACTAGACTGTTGTGTTACGCCATATTAACTATAGGATTGAGGAAAGCGGCTATCCAGGGTAGCCTGCCATCCGATATTATTTTCAGCCCCAAAAGAATTATGTCCTACATGTGAAACTGCGGGCTGTTGAGAAATATGTCCACCAAGTGGTGATGGACTATAAGAATATGGAGATTGGGGATCACTAGGCAACCTATTATATGAAGAAGAAGTATATATCGGATCCCTAGGCTACTAAGACCATAAATATGGTTATTAGAATAATCCATGATAAGAAAAAAAAATAGAATTTTTTTTTTGGAAGAAGAAAGAGAGATTTTAAGAAGAAAGACCACCACGATCTAGGGATCAAACCAAAACTCGTCCCACCGGGCGTGCCATTATATTTGTGCCGAAAAAATCACCCTAAAGCGTGAAAAAGAAGAGGTGAAAATCTCCTAAAACATACAAAACCAAGCGATTGTGGATGTGTTCTAAAACCGGCCTCGAACCTATAATCGAGGACTTAGGGTTAACTTTGGTTTAATAATAAAGAGAAAAAGATTTAGAAAGAAGTGAGACAAGCCAAAGAATGGTGGCCGTCAATCCATTAAAATGGAAAAAAAGAGATAGATAGCGCCGACTAGTTATGGAGAACGTCGATAATGCGCTATTAGAAGAAGAATCGAATTCACAGAAGTAGAAAACGATGAACGATTACCTATTTCTATGAAGGAAAATAAGCCAAAAACTATTTAATCTAGACTACACTAGAAAAACATGATAAAAGTACAATAAAAAAAAAGACGAAAAAGGAATAAAAATGATAGTCGATGATGATCGATGTTGAGAGGTGTTGTGTTGTGTATTGTTGTGCGCCGCTGCTTAAATAGGAAAAAGTGGCTGTGACTTTCTTGGGCAAAAAGTAGACCAAATTTGCTTCCAACTCAATTCCTAAAAACAAGAATTTGGCCGCACAAGAGAAGCATTATTTGATCAAAACCATAACTCCTATCAAGTTGTCTTTTACGTGAGTTCCTCCCACCAAATCCTTATCAAAGTGAGAAACTAATACAACACTCCATTAAGTCCAAATTAATCCCCCAAAACCTTGCTCAAAGTGGAATCCTTGATGAAGTAGAAAATTAATCAATTATTATCGCATCAATCATGTGGGGAATCTTTTTCAATCCCAGCCAAACTCCAACTCCTTTTGTGACCAAAAATACATATTTTTGGGGTCAAACACCTATCAAGTTGCCACAATGGCCGTGATGTCATAACAATTACAATATTTATACAAAACACAAACTATACTATAATAAGGGGCAACATCAACATCTTGCATTCCAGTAGCTCACAAGCAGAGAAAAAATGGCTTCAATCGGAGCAAATCTGAAAAAGCCCCATGCTGTGTGCATTCCAGCACCATCTCAGGGACACATTACCCCTATGCTTCAACTTGCCAAAATCCTTCACCACCGAGGTTTTTACATCACTTTTGTAAACACTGAGTACAACCACAGACGCCTGCTCAAATCCAGGGGGCCTAATTCCCTGGATGGCTTGCCTGATTTCAAATTTGAGTCCATCCCGGACGGCCTGCCTTCCTCTGACGCCGATTCTACTCAGGACATTAAGTCCCTTTGTGAGGCCATGTCCAAGCACTTCATAGTCCCTTATTCTGCGCTTCTCTCTAAGCTTCAATACTCTGCCTCCCCGGATGTCCCTCCGGTGTCTTGCTTAGTCTCCGATAGCGTCATGACCTTCACTAACGAAGCCGCCGAGCAGTTTGGCCTCCCGAACGTGTTTCTCTGGACGGCTAGTGCTTGTGGATTGTTGGGGTTCAACCAATTTCGACCCCTAATTGAAAAGGGATACATTCCATTAAAAGGTACTCTGTACTAGCTAGCTCTGTTTCGTCTGACTTTTAATTACTCTGTTTCTTAGATTTGTACTAAAACTAGTACAAATTTTAAAACTCAATGTGGACTATTTTCTTTGGGACGGAGGTAGTATAATGCATTTTGATTTGCAGACATGTCTCAAGTAACAAATGGATACCTGGAAACAACACTTGATTGGATTCCAGGCATGAGACCTGATATAAGATTGAGGGATCTTCCGAGCTTCATCAGAACCACATCAGCTGATGATTTCATGCTCAATTTCCTCGCTGATGAAGTCGAAAACAATTCAAAAGGGACGATTCTGGTATTGAACACTTTTGAGGAGTTGGAGCATGATTCTGTGAACCAACTATCCGGCATGTATCCACCTGTTTACGCCGTCGGACCGATGTCCTTAATACTTGATCAGATTGAGGATGAGAAACTCCAATCCATCAGTTCAAGTCTCTGGAAAGAGGACACTGGAGTGATTGATTGGCTCAACACCAAAGAACCCAACTCGGTAGTTTATGTCAACTTCGGAAGTATCACTGTGATGACTGCAAATCAACTCACTGAATTTGCTTGGGGACTTGCCAACAGCAAGAAACTGTTTTTATGGATCATTAGGCCGGATATATTGGGCGGTGATTCTGCTGTCCTGCCGCCGGAATTCGTGACGGAAACTGGAGAAAGAAGCATGATTGCGAGGTGGTGCCCGCAACAGCAAGTCCTGAGACACCCTGCGATTGGAGGGTTCTTAACGCACAGCGGATGGAACTCTACTTTGGAAAGCATCTCCGGCGGGGTTCCGGTGATTTGCTGGCCGTTCTACGGCGAACAGCTAACAAACTGCAGATACAGCTGCGTGGAGTGGGGGATTGGGATGGAAATCGACAATGACGTGAAGAGGGATGAAGTTGAGGCGCAAGTAAGGGAGATGATGGAAGGTGAGAAGGGACAGAAGATGAGGAAGAAAGCTCAAGAGTGGAAAATCAAAGCAGAAGCAGCCATAACAGGGCCTGATGGATCTTCTTACAATAATTTGGAAAAGCTTTTCCAAGTGATTGATTCTTCCATCATCATGAATTGAGTTTTGTGATCGAATACTTGTACTTCATTTCCTTGGGATACCAGTTTCAATCACGAATCTAAAAACTATTGCATATGGCAGTTCTCAATTAAGATAAGATAATAAACACTCAAACTGTAAAAGTGTTGGTAAAATTTCATCAAATTCTTCCAACATTCAGACTGAACTCAATAAGAGCTCAGCAATCAAGCCTCACCCTTTACCAAAAACTCGAACTCCTTTATTTTATAAGACATTGGAAATCAACAATCGAGCCCATAGCATCTCAGATGCATGCAAGTAGAGTGTTAAGTGTCTGCGAAAACTGTGAAGCAATACAGCAAATCCTTCTGCACCTACATAATACCAACTAAAATATTCACCAGAAAGATTGACTGCTACAACAAAGCGGTAGACTTTCAGTCCTTATGCCACAGGTCAAGTAAAGTAGCTTGCTCGGAAAAACAGACCATAATTATGGTGCTGATTTTCAGGACGTGTTTTACTTCATTCCGAAAGTAGGATTCCGGACAGTGTCACATTTGATTTTTGGTGCTGATTTCTCAAGGCTGGGAACATCATCAAACCACAAACACGAATCCGCAAACATACATCACTGTAACAAAGATTTGAGATCAAGGATTGTCTATTATCTAAATCATCGCCTTCCAGCTATTAAACATACAGCACCAGCCTGAATCTAACCATCAATCGAAATTTCTAAGTTTAGCCAGAGGACAAGCAACCACAAAAGTCTGGTAAAAGTACTTCTTACCCCAAAAAAATTGCAATCTTTCTTCCAAAGATTCTGCACAAAATACTTTCTCGTACTCATTTTTTGTTTTCTCCCCGTCTTGCTTGTTACTTTTGATTCCATCTCCTTCTTTTCAATTGAGCTTGAAGCTGTTCTAAACTTCTAATTTGCTTGAAGTTCCCTCATCCATTGCAATGAAACCCTTCTCTCTCACTCAACATTATGCAGTCAAAAACAGAGAAAACAGTAGAGGCTTTCACCAGTTAAACTAATCATGCAACAGAGGAACAAAGCTTTAAACCGCCTCCTCATATAAAAGTTTCTTATACGCAGAGCCTAAGCAAAGTGGAATATCAGAGCTCACTATACTGTTAAATTTCTTAAGGTTCCATCCATATCCTTGTCAAGGGTGAGGAAAGAGATAAAAAGTAGTTTCAAATTATAAAGGAATCTACCAGTTATAAGCCAAAAAATTCATGACATTCAAATTCCGGAGAAAAATAACAGAAACAAAACACCCTTTAAGCAAATTTACAATATTCAAATGACATATGAGATGGTTATAACAAAGAAAAAGATGGGAGTGCGAAGGGTTGATAGATGACCATGAAAAAGCCAATTCCCATGAATTGATTTGTGCAATTAAGATAACTATCAAAATCCAAGCAGTTAAGGTTCTAACACTCTTAATACCTAGGATAACAAATTGAACGGAGTTTTTTTTTTTTTTTGCGGTGAATACGGTAAATTTATTCACATTGCCATCCTTTTCCTACATCAGATATATATGTAGCTGAAGCACAATGAAGTTTAAGCTGCTGATTTGAACAGAAGATGGCTGAAGCACAATGAAGTTTAAGCTGCTGATTTGAACAGTAGATGGGTTCACCACACCATGAAACTCAAGAAACCTGAATAAAGAGCTAAGAGAAAAATAGAAAATCACAAATCAATATATGTTCCGATTCTAGAAGTTATTAACTCACCACATGCGTGCTGAGCAGAAGTATAGGAAAACCATTTTTCAGGTTCAGCATCAGTCGTTTCTTCCTTGTGTTTCTATTTTATTTGGAAAAAAAGCTGAAAAAGCACATAATGATAACGCATTACAAAAGGTCACATGCCATGAAAACAAGTATGCAGATATTTTTAAAGAAAATCAACAGAAAGAAGCATAACATCATAATTTGGTAACTGAAATCAGCTCCACTGTTCCTTCAAGGATTAAAGCTTCCTGTAACTGAAGCCTTAGAGAGCAAAGCTCACATTCTATGCTTGTTAGAAGCAGAACAATTTAACCAACAACACATCAAAGTGCAGTCAATTTGATGTAACCTACAAAATGATCAACACATAGGCTTAACTTAATGCAATAATTTTGCAGTAAACCCTATAAAACCCAGACAAAATGAGAAAGATTTCCAACCAAAAAAGAAAAATATCCCAAACCCAGATGTTTACCTTTTTCCATGAACAATGGGTTTTTAGCATGTATTACTAGTAAATAGCAAATGAAAGCATGTTTTTCATAAATAATTCTGCTATAAAGAAGATCCTTATGAGTTTATTTTTCTGTGAAACTCCTCATTGTTTGCTTGGAAATCTCTCAGTGATAAGCTAAAAACCCCAGATTGATTTTGTTTGCATGACAAATAACAGCCTCAACTATAACTCAGAGCCGATGAGAAGCCTGATAAAATAAAAAATGAGCTTAAAAAGAGGTGGAAAAGAAAAACTCACCGCTGCAACAATTCCAGTTCTGCAAGTAGGAAAATGAAAACCTATATCAGAGAACCAATAAATCATGAAAAGATAGGGGAAGAAAAGAAGAAAATAAAAAGTTCATGAGCTTTCATGCGGTCAGCGGTTTGGTTTCTATCTATTTTAAGATTAATATCAGAACATTTCCCCATTGCAGAACTCAAACCCAAACATTCCCCATCCATAAAAATAAAAGGAAGTACAAAAAACAAACCTCAAACAAAATTAAGAATAACCCATATCACAGAAAGTCACAAACTTCAAAAGAAGGACTCACCTTTCATGGCCGCAAGTATCCCAAATTTGAGCTTTGATGACTTCAATTATCCACATTCAAGCTTTGTGTGGTGAACTGAACACAGATTGTTGACCTGGACTTAAGGCTGAACTCATTTCTGGTGATTCTCACATGCTTCCGATAGTATTAATGAGAAGGATCCAATTAACACACAGAAGAAAAAAAACTAAAAAAAAAAACAAATAAAGGAAAGAAAAGAAGCCACAATTATTTTCTTTTTTATTGTGCCAAAAATGAAGAACAGTGAACAACAACAATAACATATCGCTGACAAGCGAACCCATAATGAATGGCGTGCTTATGTTATCCAACTAAACCAAAACACTGAACAACCAAATTAGTTAATACGGAAACCTCTTCCACTTGCAGAATGAAATTGGCTTTAGAGTACTGCGCAATCCCAAAAAAACAGAAGATGTTCACAAACCTGTTTACATTACACAACAGCAATGCACCATATGGAAATTTAAAAATTAAAAAATTCGAGAAAAGAGGATAAAAAATACTGATTAAAAGAAATAAATAAATAAAAATCAAACATAGCAACCAGGCTATCTCGAAAAGTAGTACAAGGAGCTGACAGGAGGAAGAAATTACACAAAAGATCCGATTAGCAAAGGAAGACCATAGTCAAAGGCGAACCCCCGAAAATCTGATTGAAAGGAGAATTATAAGTAATAACTCAAATCAATTCTTAAAATAAGAAAGCTTGGTCCTATTTTTAAATTTAATTATACAGTAAAGTTAACTTACATATACTCTGATAACTGGAGGTACCTTGTTATTAAATAGCATGGCAACTGCTAAGTAAGAAGGCAAAATAAACCGAACCAAACATGAGACAAAAATGGAATTGGATATACAAAATCCTGGCATATTTCAGCTCAATGGGAGAAAATACTGTACAGAAATGTAGAAGTATTTATCAAATCAAGATCCTAAGATCGTTTGATTGTACAAAAGGTTACAAGATGACTATACCTCTCAACTTATTTTCTAAACTGTCCTTGATCCAACCAAGGTAATTAAACCAGAAAAGCCTAGGTACACCAGGTCAGGTGTCTCCAGCAAAAACTTCTGAGACAATCATGGTTTTACTCATTCATTCCAAGCACCAGAACGGCAGAGTTCCCCTGTCATGCAGAAAGATATATACCCGCGAATAATCAGCAGACACGATATATCTGAACACGAATGAAGTTCCAAAATTAGGACTCCACGGTTTCCCTGACACGTAGAGCAAGTCTTTGCAAAGACTGCTCATCGTAGGATGGGTCCTTTTTTCTTATCCTGGAAACAAATTCCAATGCTTCTTCATATCTTCTTGCTCTACAATAACCGTCTACAATTGTCTTGTATGTCAACTCATTTGGTCTGCAGTTGTGCTGGATCATATAACCTAACAATTCATCAACTTCTGAGAATAGTCCACGCGCTGAAAAGCCAGCAACAAATGTATTGTATGTGACAATGCAGGGACTTATTCCTTTAGATGTCATCTCTGAGAATATACTGATCGCCTCCTGCATTAGACCTTGCCTGCAGAACCCTTTGATGACAGTATTATAGGAAACAAGGTCTGGTTGACCGCCAGTTCCTTTCAGGCCATTGAGAATTTCTAGGGCTTTCCAGGCATCACCTGCTCTAGCATACATATCCATCAGAGTATTGTAGGTGACAAGATCAGGCTGCAATCCATTCTCATGAATCAAGTTCAAAATCTCTTGGGCACGATCGAACATTTTGTTCCTAGCGAAAATGGAAAGCATGGAATTAAATATAACTAAATCAGGGATGTATCCCTGTTTCAAGATTTCCTGGAAAGCTCTCTCCATACCCACGAGTGATCTACACTTGAAATTAGCAAGGACAAGCGTTCTCAATAGCATCCAACTAGGGAATATCTGCCCATCATAAATATCTTCAGCTATTCTTTCAATTCCCTTAAGATTCCCTCCTTTTGAGTGGCAATTAAGCAACAGTGAATATGATGTTTCACTGGGTTTGAAGCCTTTGTTTTTCATATCCAGAATTATTTTTTCAGCAGCTCTCCAATCTCCTCTGCGGGCCAAAGCATTTAGAAGTGCATTATATGTGGTGAGACATGGTGTAAATCCGGCTTTGATCATCTCTTCATGCATCATTGAAGCATTTACACCCAATCCACACCGGCCATAAGCACTAATTAAGGTGTTAAATGTGTCTCTGTCAGGCTCAAAGCCACACCTTTGCATCTCTTGGAAAACAAGGTTCACATTTCTGTGCATTCCCTTGCTACCACATATTGCAAGCATTGTATTCCATGTAATACGATTAGGAGCACAACCATTTGATTTCATCTCAGAAACAATTTCCATCATCTCCTCAAGTCGTGACTTCTTCCCTAGCATGCCAAGAATCGCATTGTAAGTACAGACATTAGGTACACAACCAGCTTTCTTCATCTCTTTAAACCATGTCAACGCCTTCTCCTCCTGCCCAGCTTTGCCATAGGCATCTATTACAGTCGTGTAAGTTACAGCATTCGGCATTATTCCCTTCTCCGTCATTGTACCAAGGAGGGCAGCAGCCTCTTCATGGAATCCAGCCCTCACATATGTTGCAACAAGTTCATTATATGTCACTGCATCAAGAGGGCATTCGTTTTCCTCCATTTCTTTCAAAATGCTCAGCGCCTCTGAAAGTACTCCTGCCTTCCCAAACACTTGGAGAAGTGCATTGTAAGTAACTGTTCCAGGCACGAAACCCTGTTTCTTCAACTCATCGAAAAATCTTTTTGCTTCATCCAACAACCCTTCCCTACCACAGGCAGATATCACAGTGCTGCAAGTAAACTCATCAAACTGAAGCCCTTCATTCCTCATTTCAGTCAGAAGGTTTTCAATTTCCTTCCAAGATCGACCCTTTTTACCGTAAACATCCAACATTACATTGTAAGTAACCAAAGTTGGAGAAAAGCCCTTTTCTTTCATATACTTGAATAATCCAATAGCCTTCTCGTACTTTTCAGTACGAGAATAAGCATGAAGAATTGCAGTATATGCTCGAACATCCAACGAATACTCCTCCAGAGGAATCAAGTCGAAGAGTTTCGAAGTCACCACATACTGAGACTCCCTGCCAAGAATCTTAATCATGAATTCAATAACCTGGGTATCCAACTTGTCATCGTCATTCCCAACATCAACATTGTTCAGCACAAACCATTCAAACAAGATAATAGCTTTGACCCAATTATCCATAACATCTAAACCTTTCAATAGACTCATCAAATCAAACTCAAGCAACTCATCCTTAATGGAATCGAGAAACTTATTCAAACTAGTTACGGGACGCTGAATGATAGAATTCAACAGCAACTTACCATTGGAAGGGAGAAAATCGAGGGACGCATCATTGTTATCCGACTGAAAACCACCCTCCTCTCCGTGATTCCCAATAATCGGGATTGTAATTGAGTTTGTCAAAGTGGATTCTTGAAATTCATCATTGCCAGAAGAAATGAAGGAAGAAGCCAAGCGGGCTCCCTTGGTTGGAGCTGTTCTGATTGTGGGCGGTTTAGACTTGGAGATATGGAGGAGGTGCTGAAGGACTGAATCAATAGGGAAAGAAGCAGAGGAGGAAGAGGTTGTTGATTCTTGCAATTGTTGTTGCTGAACTGCAGTCAATTGCTGCTGAAATGGAAGAAGCAAATTTAGGCGGGGGTTTGGCTGTTGAATTGTGGATGGTGGTTTTCCTTGTCGAACTGGAAATGCAGGCCTATTAGGAAAAAGGGTTCCTTCCATTTTCTCTTTTCCCCCTGCCACTCGGGGGGAAGAAAAAAAGGAGGCTTCTTGACTGTTTATACTGTGTGTGTGTCTTTGGAGCAGTGTGTGAGTGTGTGTTTTTGTGCAAGGATGATGGTGGGTTGATGATGCTTTAGTGGTGGGAGGAGGGAGTGAGGAGAATATGAAGGGATGACCTTAAACCTCAGCAGAATTCATTCATCCAGTTTGGGCTAAAGTCATCATCAAGATGAGGCTAATGTTTTCACTCACACCCAAGAAATTGTTTGTAGCATTTTTGAGCTATCTCCAACATTTTGATGTGGAGTTGTGGACAAAAGCCACAATCAAATATGCAACACTAGGTATATTTTTAAGGATTGAAAATTCTTCCAAGTTCAGATATTTTTCTGAAAATACTTTTATAGTTGTATTTATTTTGTTTCTATTATGAGACTGGATCTCTAACTTTGAAAAATATCCATTTGAACATTACCACAAACTTGTTCCCTAACATGATAGTATACATTTTAAACATATAGTAACACAATACAAATTTCTGATAATTATATCTCGTTGTGTAACTTATGTGGTACCCTGGTTAACTCAAAATTTTATCAACATATCAAATGGTGGGAGTTTCATAATTCATATCACTTGTTCACTCATAAAACAAAAGAGACCTTCATAATCATTAGCATTGAAGCTGGCTTGATTTCCATCAACATTATTGCCGTAGATTCTAAAACTAGGTGAGAAATTTTGGGAGGTATTTTCAAACATTCATGTATAGGGGACATCATTTAGCATGTACTCCCTCCGTCCCATAATTATTGTTCAATTTTACTAAAATGAAAGATTTTATTTTTGGTTAAACTTAACTATATTTTACCTTGAACAACCGAATATACCCCTACATAAGTAATTGTTTAACCACAAAGATTTTATAGATAATGTTTTTTACTAAGGACAAATGTGTAACTTGATCCATAAAAAGTCAAATTGGACAATAATTTTGGGACGGAGGGAGAATATATTTTTCTTGGTTGGTCAATTTACTTCTCAAATGACTTTTTAACTTGAGTGGAGGAGATTAATATATTACCATGAAACATTTATCTCTCGAAAAGGATTCTTTCAAATAGAGAATTAAACTTAGATTGAGTGTGAGATATATCCGTTTCAAATTAATTTACAGTTTTTGTAAAATATAGTACTACTAAACTACTTAAAAATACGTAACTAAGTAGGCTAATGGCTAGAAATACTCATTTGAAAGTTCCTAATCAAAACCAAAAAGAAAAAGAAATTTATAACGTTGGCCTAATCGTTGTCTTGGGATAGACCAAAAAGGTCGACAACTTTCGTCGACTTTGGTCGTCCACTTACATTTGGTCGACATACGGATCGAAGAACGTCTGTTTGTAGTTTCTTTTTATTTTTATTTATTTATTTTTGGACTTCTAACTTTCCATCATCTTTGACTTAAACCAACCACTCTAGGGTTTAAATCCTAAGATCTTCATGTTTTGAAAAACTTTTAACAACTTAATCTTATGAATTAAATTGGGTAATATCTAACCTAGCGAAGAGGAAAAAAATGTTATAACGAAATTGAAAATAATGTTAGAAAATTCTCAACTGACAAATAGAATAGAAGTACTGAAGAACGACTCCTTCACTTAAAATGCATATAGTATTAAAAGAAATTCTTGTATTGTATTTGCCTACTTTAATGCTTCTTCCTCGATAATGAAGATGCTATTCAAATGCAAAATGAAATCCGCTGCTGACGGAAAATACAAATGAGTTCCAGCAAAAGAGATTTTTGAATGGCCGGTAGTTTAAAAGGCAAAATTTTGAGATGATTTCATTTGGTTAAAGAAGAAGTTGCATCGATCCCGCATTTGCTTAGCAAAAGCTGAAGTCGGACTTGCAAATTAACCCACTGGTAAAACAAGCTTAGAAGATTTGGATATGAATGAGGTTCCTAATAATGTTATTAAAGAAAAGAAACATTGGGATTGTTCCTTTTGTCAGCTCGTTACTACTTGAGGCTGGATTGAACAGTCAGGTTAAGTCATCAGGATTTGCTTAGAGTCTCGGTCTATTCATTAAATGATTAAATTCTGTGTGGTTTCCTCCTCTAAATCTCTTGCCTCTTCATAATTTTCCACTAGAGAAGCTCAAAGAGAGAAGGTTGCAATAAGGAGGCTCCATCGGAGCTACCTCTCGGGTTTTTCCGGCAGCTTAACAACCCCTGTTATAGTTCCGCTACTGGCTATTGTCGCAGCTAGTTTGACCTTGGTAAGACGTAAACTGATATTAAGCAGACCAACAGGTAATCAGATGATATTGATCAAGCAGGGAAATAGCAGCTATTAGCTAATTTGTAACCAAGAATCCTATAAAGTGAATAAATCAAATGGCTAACTGATAAAAGTTCAAAGATGAAGGGAGAACAGTAAAACTGTTGAATCTACAAACAACAGCCCTAGCACTACAGGTGAATCTATGGAAACAGATGAATTAAATGTATACATGACACTAATATTTTAAAAAAAAATTTACCCTTCACAAGTTAATCATCCCCTAAAATTAAATGCTAACCTAACAGTAAACATGACATTGATGTATACAATCACACTGGTGGTACCTGGTACCTGTGATATAATCTTCATGACGAAACGACGGTTCATAGTGATTCAATCAATCTTTAGATGAAGAAGTACTCATATCCGAAGCACCATCAGTTGGAGTAGATGATTGCGCGGAACCTCTGAATTTTACATCAGCAGATTGTTGCAGTGAATTTTCATGTTGCTGGAGCAAAGACTGCGGTTGCTGATGTTGTAGTTGATGCTGATGGAACTGGTGCAGTTGGTGCTGTTGAAACTGGTGCTGCTGCTGCTGCTGCTTCTGGGAGTTAAGCTGCAGCTGTTGAAATTGTTGGGCAGCTAGCATGGTGTGCATTGCATGATTACCCGAATAATACTGCTGGCTGGCCCCAAAGGAAGGAGGAAAATTCATCATAGGTCCGCCATTTGGAATTTGGCCAGTTAACACCTTCAGGTGCTGAATCTCCTCCTTGAGCGCATCGTTTAAAGCTATTCAAAACGACAGGAAATGATAAAAAATCAGGCGAGCAGTATGGATTACACAGAAGAAAGGCCAATAAATAAATGAACGACACTAAAAGATGCCTAGGATACCATGAATCAACATCTACGAAGGTGATCTGATAGTTTCCAGAACGTGAACTTTTCACAATTGCATTTCCAACAATACAGTACACAGTTTCTAACATATCTAACCATTTGGCGAAAAATTATGGAGAGAAATGCATCTTTTTGCTGTCTAGTGACAGAACAAAGCTACACTTTCTGTTCCCAATCTTTGTAAATGCAACAAAAGTGGTGCTTTAGGCACATTGATAACGTGGTCCCTCTATTTGATGTTGAATTCTAAATATTAGTGTTGACCACAATTAGGTGCTTCTTGACATGGAGAAAAACTAACTCCCCCCTTCTTCCCCTATCACCTCCCAGATTGCCACAATGGCTGCTGAACTAGTCAGCCATCAGAATTCCAACCAACTCATTTGAATGCAGCTTTCAGAGCACTGGCTGGCAACAAAAGGTAATAGTAGTGGTCTTCTGATGAGGTGAGGGTTAAAAATAGTAGTGGAAAGAGATATAAGGAACTTGGTCTTATGAAGTGCATTCTAATTGTAATAAATTCAATTCTTTTAGAACTAAAAGTACTAAAGGACCCATTTCGACACCTTATTCCAGGTTAAATTGTCTATTTTCATCACCTTTATAATGACTAGGGCCTAAAACTGTCACCTCGTAAAGTAGAAGAACTCATTCAGTTCAAAGCCAAAGTTTAGGGCCAAACATGCAAAGATTATGCAGAGCACCTAGAAGACAACTTATGAACTTTCAACAAGTAACAACAAAACGCTTCCAGTTTAGACCAAAGAAACTATGATGCCTTGCGTGTAACAGACCCCACATAGATCAATTCGTAGCAACAATTACCTTTTCGAGTATAATCATCAATGCATGCAAAGGCAAACAATGATTGTAGATGTACATTTGGGGAATGTAACTACTCTGTTACCATGTAGTTCATTGTCAGATAAATCAGAGGGTAAAAACATTTTAAAGCACCCTTCCCTGGATCAAGGTGGCTGTAAAACTTGTCCCTTTGTTTCCAACAAAAACCCAATTTTGTGCTCCCAAGAAGAGCAGGCCATATTATGTACACAAAGAAAAAACCAGAGGCACAGAAAGTATGGCTCAATTTTGGGTGGGAGCAGGAAATATGTGTTCAGTCGCATCCCCAGAGTTTGGCAGGCAAGATGATTTTCAGGTGATTAATGGGCAATGGCATTTGGTTGAATTCTAAAATAAAATACAGAGGAACAGTGGCAGGCCAGCACCAAGATCAAACAGTCTGCCAACCCCCCACACACACACACACACAGAAACGATGAGCATTATAACTTCCCAAGATTATCCACTACAAAAATACTAAACAAGTGAATGAAATAAAGGTAAGTCCATTACCATCTTGTAGGTGCACCTGTTGTTCCATTGTCTGCAGGCGCAGTTTAAGTTCACTGTTTTCAGCAGTTAGACCACTTGTATCTCTCTGCAAACATACAAGGAGCAGAACACTAATATCATTAAAGCTTCTTCACAGGGCCATTAAAACAAAATGAAAGAGTGAATAAAGGCTTATTCCTAACTGCTGATACAACTACCGCGTTGACATATCACGTTTGCATCCAGTGTAGATTTTATTTTTTTCTTAATTTTCGGTGGAAGGGTGAAAACTATTTTGTTTGGGAAGAGGCTCTACTAAGATTGAAATTATTTATACTATATCCATAGAAAATTCAAAAATTGAAAGTATTGAAATTATTTACTGCATTGGGAGGAGTACATCTACAGTAAAAATTGAAATTATTTACTGTGGCTCTACTAAGAGGCTCTGATAGTATTTCGTGTATTTCATTATGTCTACAATGCACAACAGAAGCCTACACTACTTGTGTGTGTAGCTTTAGGAATTGACAGTTTATACTATCCACCAAAAAACAAAAAACAAATAAAAACAAATGGGGACTGATTTGCTTTTAATGCGGTAAATTTGAATAACAACGGATTAATGGATATCACGTGCAATGCATGAGGCTTGCATATTGAAGAATATGGTAGAGTTCTGGCTGGTGAAAGTTTTCTATATAAGAACTGAGAAGAAAAGTATAGAGTGAAATGCGGAGAGAGGAGAACAGGGATTAAAAGTATAGAGTGAAAATAATAGGACTGAGAAGAAAAGTAAGATAGGGAATAATGCTGAAACATTTTGAGTTAATAAAAAATGTGTGAAGAATTGTGTGCGCGAGTGCAACGACCAAGCAAAAAGTCAGACTCAGTCACCTAGATCACAAAGAGATGAGTTTACCTGCAATAGTGTAAGCTGAGCAGACAACGAAGTTGCCTCTGTTTGCAGTGTCTGGACTTTCCTTTCAAGTTCAGCAATATACCTCATCTTCCTTTCTTTTGATCTTGCTGCTGACTGCCTATTAGCCCATATCCTATAAGGGAACACAACACTTTTAGTGCAAAGTAATGATGAATAATGAATTTACTGAAAATAGATAATCAATGCCAAAACAAACATAGAATCTTGTCTTTACATACTAATTTTGGAAGATGACATGAGTGCATTTACAGTTAGGATATCTATGCATTCCATGCTAAGGGGTCATGAAAAAGGAAAGGCTTAAAGGAGCAAAATCTAGGGACAGAAATTTAGTCTGTTTACTTCTCCAAAAAAGCTCCTGAACCATAAAGAACAAAATATCAAGGTCCACTTCAGGCTTCAGAGTTTTGTTCAATGTTGTTATGTCAAGCAAATTCAGTTTTATACTTCTACGCCTTTTTCCAATCGTGTAAGAGTCACGTAGTATTTATAACAAGTGTGGGCAATCAAAATCTATACATAATTTTCACATGAACTACTGTAGTCTAAAAGTTGCACCAATTCATCACAGAGCCATATGGTCATAACAACTGATTACAATAAAAACAATTAACACATAGGTCGCCAGATGAACTAGTTTGATTTAATAGTAGTAGAACTATAGGACAGGCAAGGATTGCTTGTTTCTCATACTTATACTACTCTTCTAGCCCATCAAGCAAAATGAAGTCCCACAATCTAACAGACCAACCAGGTTCATATTTTGAAATTTCATAATAAAGTTTTAACTTTAACCAAGGGCTTTTGTATCTTTAATTACTTTATGAAAAGACATAGAACACTTCTGTGGTGTTTGGCACAACCATCAATTCAACATCACAGTTAGTCTCCAACCACCACTATTAAGGAGAAACTCATTTTGAGGTCTAATTCTTGGGATCATCTACACTCGTTCTTCTTCTTCTTCTTGGCCATACAACAAATAATACAGATTCCAACCATAAGAATCCCAAAGTTCTACAGTCTCACAATTACAATTCATGTAATTCTGTCCAACTAGTTCACTTCCAGACACCATAAAAATAAATAATTTTTTTTAAAGAAAAAGAGAAGAGCTCAGCTGAAACGACAACTGAAGAGATGCAAAAAGAATAATCATTTTATTATAATCAACTACATGCTGAGAACTATGCCTTATTAATAATGAATTAAACAACCTTAGCATCAGCAACTACTACAATGCCTTATCCTAAGTTTGCTCTATGAAACGCATGTCCCCGTCACCTACATGCTCTGTTAAACAAATACTCACTTTCAAATTCAAATCAATTGCCCTTCAATTCCTTCTAGACCCACACTTTGCCCGTTAAATTTTGAGTTAACAATTCTTTGTTTTGAATTAGTATTACTTGGATCTAAGGGCCTCCTACACACAATTTCAAACTATCTTAAGTGTTGGGTTCTCTTATTTTCGCATCTCTTGATGCTACTCCCAGTTTTGTTTTAACCAATCAAATACTAAAGCCTCAGCATTCCAGTGTACCTGCACCTATATCTCAATATTCTCATTTTACTACAACCATATTCTGTTTGTTTTTAATGGCAGCCTGGAACTATTATTCATATAGCATTACTGCTCATATGGAAGTCTCAAACAATGTCTTATGGTCTCATAGTACAAAGCACACACTCCTCCCTTTTGTTCAACCTGTCTACAAGAGTTTCACAGTCCTCCCAACTTCCTTCCTACACCTTTATGGGGTTTGCTTTTTTCTACTAGTTGATTAGTCTCTTAATCTCCAATCCTCCACAGGAAGTGTCCAACATGTCATTTGAATCAATTGCAATACAATACACCTAGGTAAGAAATAGTAAGAAATTAAGAAACATCCAGGGAAGATTTCCTTTGTATCCTGATGTGGAAACAGACTTCTTCTTGTCCAGTTCAGCTTTGTCTATATCCTCTTCTAAAGCTTTAACTCAAATTTTCAAGTTCATTTTCTGCACATCATGTTCGACTACCTACCATCTACCAATAGGCATGTCTTTCAAACATATCTATTCAAATTTTAAAATTGAACTTGAAACATCTAACAAGGCAAAAACAACTTCTATTTGATCTTGAATTCAAAAAGTTGCATCAAATTACCAACGCACAGATAAAGGCAGAGGATGCACACTCTTAAACATCAATTTAAACTATACATACAAACTCATGATCTACAGCATGATCATTTCAAAACAAAAGTCGATACAATTCCTACTTCTATGTTCAATGCCAAACTTCAGATACATAGAATCGTTTGCGATACATAAATTATTTTCCGTGTAAATGTACCAAAAGATGAGCCAAAACAAAACACCAAAGAAGCCTGATAAAATCATATATAAGTAAGAACAAGATTTCTCACTTTACAGAAGTTTCCTCAAACACTTGTGTGTTGTGCGTCCGCGTCCCCAGACGAAGCAAATGATTATGTTTTAACTTACACACACTTGAATCTTCTCATTAGGTTGTCTAAATCAACTTAGCATACATCTTTGAAACAACAACTACATTATGAGTGTCTATGAGAAAGAGAGTAAGAAATCATAAACCCGAACAAATCCCGAGAAAATTGGTAGGGAACAATTTGTTTGGTGTAGAAAATCATTTCAAGACAGAAAAAGGGAATAATAGACAAGTTCAACTGCTCAAGAGAATAAGCACATGGCAATACTCCAACAATGGGTCGAATTTGAGATTCGCTCAATGACAGAGTAGCATGAGTAAATAGCTAAAAACATACACAGGAAGAGAAAGGGGCGCACCCTCTCATTTTCAAGAATGTAACTTACATGTAGTAATGGGAGTTACTTTTCTGCACTGTTTAAATCCACATGAAAAACTATTATTTATGACACGAGGACATACAAGTTCAGACTTATGCATCTGGGTAATGAAAGTAAATTTGGAGTGGAAATTATTAGGACGACATCCTAATTAGGAGAATCTACATATATGAACTAGAAAAAAGTTACTGTTCTTTATCCCAGCTATGAAATTTGATAAGAAACACACATTAACCAGTTGGGAAAAACATTAGTAAGCAGTAACCTGAGCCCGTAGAATTAATTTTACAAAATTTGCATTAGCAGCCACTCTTCATGATTCATAATGTTGGAGAAAGGCATAAATCCACAAACTACTACAATTCTCATATCCAAGTATTGAAGCGTAGGCAGCACGTGTCAACCCTTTATATTGTTAACTCAGCCAACGGGAACAAGTAACTTTAGTACTGACTACTGAGATGGCGAACCATAAAACAACCATTTAAATGAGACTCTGCAAACCGATATACACACATCCCAGAGAATCGAGAGCATAATCGAATCAAATGAAATCAAAACTTATTTTAGAGACGAATGTTACTGCCAGTAAAGAAAATCCAAATTTGATAAGTGCTGTAACAAAAATCAAGTGACAAAATCAAGAAGCATCATACAGAAGAGTTACCTCTTTGCACGCTTTGGATCAATCAGAGCGAGCTCAGCAAGTTTAGCAGCAGACATAGCTTTCTTGGAGTCTGCCTGAGATGCCTCTTCTGCACCCGATGCAAGCATCTCAGGCTTAATTGTAGTCGAACCATCCATAGACTGGCTATGATGGTGTCTAACTCTTGGTTTGTCACTCATACCCGAAACTATATCACTGGATGGTACCACTGAAGATGATGCTGGGATTGATGATGAATCCAGGGCACCAGAAGAAGACGATTCACCCACTTGGAAAGCTGAAGTAGCAGAAGAAGAATTGAACTTGTCCATGTCAAGATACATAGAGAACAGGTCTTCTTCAGTATCATCAGAGAATGATGGGCCATCTAATGCACCCACAACACCAAGATCACTATCGAAGCTAATGTCGTCTGGGAGAGTAAGAATCTCAGAGTGAGCACGTCGGTGGCCCAAATTCTTGGGTGGGTTATCTGGCATTCTGCTAATATCATGGCTAAATCGACTGGATTCAGATGACATCCCCTGACTAAAATGAGTTGATTCTGAACTAACCCCCGGCCCTAGTGGAGGAAGACTTGTTGATCCTGATGGCTCAGGTTTCACATTGATACCATTTCCTGGGGGTGAAAACACTGAGTACCTCCCTGAAGGGGGCAACCCACCAGCATGGTTGAGATTCTTATCCTTGTCCATAGACGCAGAAAGTACCGAGCTTTAGAAGAATTTCCTTGAACCCTATGAAATTCAAACAGCTTTTTTATTTCTCCACAATTCCGACAGCCCCAAACTATAATTTCGTCTCAACACCTTTTTTCACTCACAAATAGTAAACCGATGAAACAGAAGTTCCACAGAAGAAAGCTGCCAGCAAACGTATGGGTCTCCAAAATCCTACTTCCTATACTCAAAGAGACCAAACAAAATCTTATCACCTGAAGATGGGTGCCCGAGCTTCGACCCTCAGACCAAAAATGTCTCTTTTTTTTTTTCCCTGACAGGTCTTCAAATCGCTCCCAAATTCGGATGCAGGACAACCAAAAAGGCAAAAACCAAAACAAAAAACCGAAATCCAGAAAATTGCAAATAAACAAGCTTATCAAACCGTTTTCTGCCACCAAGTCCAGTTTTCTCTATCAGATTAAACCCCAAAAGAAAATCAAACAAACAAGAATAAGTACATATAAAAGAAAAGAAATCCAAGAAGCTACAATTCAATCCAGTAAGATTTGAGAAATGGGAACAAAAAATTATATGTCATTCACCCAAGAATCAAATAAAGATCCAACATAAGACCCAAAATGGAAAACAAAAAAAATAGCAAGAAAAAAATCAATTGCATGTGAGATTAGGAGGAAGAAAGACAAATCGTCAGTCATAACTGATAAAGAAAAGGAAATGGTTCTTACATAAAATGAATTGAGTTAGAGGCAAAGCTATGGCAAAAGATCTCAGCACGAATCAGACAGGGCAGAAGACATGTTGAGGAATGATGGGTTATGGCTTCAATCAATTATTCTGACCGGACATAATCTATATCCTCCATTTCTCCTCGTCGGATTTACAATGTCAGTAATGGCAATTTCGTAACTTTAAATCTCGGTGGTGGTGATTTTGTAAAATGAGTAGTACTAAGGAAATAGAGAAAAGACCAATAAATAAATTGTTTTATATTACTCCCTCCGTCCCATAATTATTGTCCACTTTGCCCAAAAAATTTTGTCCCAAAATTATTGTCCAATTTGACTTTTTATGGATCAAGTTACACATTTGTCCTTAGTAAAAAACATTATCCATAAAATCTTAGTGGTTAAACAATTACTTATGTAGGAGTATATCCGGTTGTTTAAGGTAAAATATAGTTAAGTTTGACAAAAAATAAAATCTTTCATTTTAGTAAAACTGGACAATAATTATGGGACGAAGGGAGTAATAAATAATAGTAATGATTTCATTGCCTCAAAATAAATCCTTCTTTGTTGAATTACAACAATACAAAAAAAAAATGAAATACATTATGTTGTTTCAATAAGTTGGGCTAATTGAATGCGTTTTGTATTTATGAATTTTATTGATAAACTTAGTAAAAAGAAAGAATGACTAGTTGATTATAATAAAAATCCATCAATCACTAAGTATTTTTCTTTTAGATAAAATAAGTTTAGGAAGATTTTGAAATTATATAGCACTGAATGATAGCCAGCTCGGAACCGTGACCAAAAGAATATGACAATTACTAATTTATTACTTAATGCTTTAATGGTATAATAAACACATGTTATAATTTAAGCAAAACCTAGTAAGAACGTCAAATCCTTTATTAAATTAAATATAAGATTGAAAGTATCGTACAATCTGTTGCAAACTTGTAAAATCAATTGTTCAATATCTGTTTAACGATTATATCAATGGTGTAGACCTTATTGAATCATGTTATCTTAGAGACATAGTTATAGATCTTGATTCCTGGTTATATTATATATCTTTCTTTTTACACTTTACAATATGCAATATGTGATATAATCTTTTTTACATTAGTTTGAGAAATAGTGTAAATTGTGAGAACTGCATTTGAAGGGATAATAGTCCCTTCTGTTAACATGAAGGTTAATACCGTTTTCTTCTCGTACAAGAATTATATATGTAAATTTGAATGGTTCGTTAGAAAATTAAATTTATTTATCGAAATACCTTACTATAATGAACTTTTCTTGAATTATAATTACGTATTGATTTTAGTAAACAATCTTCATTTCTTAACTAACGCAAATACAAGAATATTCTATGTGTACTTTGCATATATTCCACCATAATCATTTGGATATAATTGGAATCTTGAATAAAATCACATTATACAAAAGCAAAAAAAAAAAAAAAACCTTAAAAACTTACATCCAATATGCAATCGTAGTGTTTGAGTAGTAAGTGTACATACATTATTAATTAACAAATGATGATAATGGATTTATGGCCGTGACAATGGCATTGTGACTGATTGTAAGTTGTGTTTTTATGTCTGTATCTTGCTTTTATCAATCAGACGATTTCTAGCAATTAATGAATTTATCTCCATTTAAAAAAAAAAACAAATGATGATAATGGATTTAAAGAATTTTCAGAAAAGAGAAGAAAATAGAAATCCAAACAAATCCCAACCTCTTCTATATTCTACTATGATTTGATCAAAACAAGTTTAATAACAGCCGCTCACTTGCATTTCTGTGAATATAAGACCCAACCCAGTTTCAGTCCACTCCTTTCTTGCTCTCAAATTTTCCCCCTTTTCTTGAGAGTCTTTTTTGAGGGAGAAGAGTTTCAGCGCAGTAGTGTTGAGTACAGAAGTATATATGGACATGGCAATTTGCTCCAACACTTCTATTATTCCTCCAACCAATTTCTCTGTATCGACAAAACCCAGTTTCGAGAATGCCAAGAAAAGCTTCAGTTTTGCTTCTTCTTCTTCTTCTGTGTTCAAGAAACCATTTTTGGGTGCCACCCAATCCTTATCTTTTACGAACAGAGCATCGTTCAATCTTCATGGTTGGAGAACCCCTCTTCAGAAATCTATAAACTGCTCTGTTTCTCAAGCCACTGAGACCGCTTCTGGTAATCAAACTTATGGTTTTGTTTCGCTGTTCATTTCCTAATGCGCTTTTGTATTTACTGGATTGTGACGATGATGTAATTTTGATGTTTTGCTGGTGCATGTTATATTATCCGTACAATTTCTGTATTTTGTTAGTTACTCTCATGAATGAGTGTCCTTATCATTAGAAAAAAGTTGTAATTTTGTTATACTGGCGATATCATCAAGATAAGATGATGTACTTACTTTCAAGTTATTGCTTCCTTATCTGAAACAAGCCTGGTTTTTGGAGCAAACCATGTCTTTGATAAAATTTACCCCGAAGGATACTTGTTATGATACTTTCCCTGTTCCCAAAACTTGCAAAGCCTACATGTTGAAATTCCAGAATCTGCAAGATGACATTGCTTTCCTTGACTTCTTTGTTATGCTGCTGTGAATGTCTGCTGTTTATTTAAATGTACTGGTATTTAGTTAGATATCAAGGTTGGCAATAAAGACAAATTCTTATAACCTTCATATAATTCAAACTTCGGTTGCACTTTAAATTTCGCTGTGCGATCAATATTAAGTTTTGCTGCATGTCTGGGTTGTATCTGATTCTACTTTTTTCCTTTAGAGAAAAAGGGCCAGTTAACCAGAAGAAGTGACATCAGGAATATAGCTATTGTTGCTCATGTCGATCATGGGAAGACCACGCTAGTGGATGCAATGCTGAGGCAAGCAAAGGTTGGATTTACGAATTATATATCTTATTCATGCTAAAAGTTGATGTTTTCACGAAGATAATGATTTCTCTTTGACTGGATCAGATTCTCAGACAGATTAACTATTGTGAAATTATCTCTTTCCTTCCTGTAGTGAACGATGAAATCAGGTTAACATGAAATGCGGATAACTTGTGGAAAATGTGTCACATTCTGATACATGGTTGTGACTTTTTCACAGGTCTTTCGGGATAACCAGTTTGTTCAAGAAAGGATAATGGACTCAAATGATCTAGAGCGTGAAAGGGGCATTACCATACTTAGCAAAAACACCTCAATCACATATAATGATACAAAAATAAATATAATTGATACTCCTGGACATTCTGACTTTGGAGGTGAAGTCGAACGAATACTCAACATGGTGGAGGGGGTGCTACTAGTGGTACTTTTATTGCCTATGCACTTTTTTCCTTTTTAACTTTTTTTTATTGTTTATTTCCAGTAGCTTTTTTACTGTCAGATGATTTCTGGTTGCTGGGTATATTTTTGTTAAGTATGATATGGAAATTTTATCAGAATATTTGGTTTGCCTGAGTAACTGAATTTGTCGAGGGAGCTCATAGCATTGATGAAATTTCCCATCACTTCTTAAATTTTATGTGTGTGGTTCCTCAGTATCCAAATTGTCATTTTATATGAATTTTTCACGCAGACTTGTAACATTTTTGGAGATTAAGTTTGGTTAACATACTTCTCTCTTTCTGTCGCATCTTTATACAATAAGTTTCTTCATTCCAGTATTCCACTGCTTTGGTTAACCTTTCTCTTGAAAACATACTGTATTTGTCTCTGCTTTTCTCTTTTGCTTTTTTTTAATCATAAGATATCTTAACGTGATGCACAAAAATAAATTAATTAAGGTTGTATGGGTGTTTGATTTGTAGGTAGACTCTGTTGAGGGTCCAATGCCACAGACAAGATTTGTTCTGAAGAAGGCTCTTGAATTTGGCCATGCTGTAGTTGTAGTTGTTAACAAAATTGATAGGCCATCTGCACGCCCAGATTATGTTGTCAACTCTACATTTGAGTTGTTCATAGAACTAAATGCGACTGATGAGCAGGTTGGTTTTGTATTTTTAAAATTTAGATATTCTTAACGAATTCGTATGCAGTTAGAAGTGAAACAATTTGAGTAAATGATTTTGCTTAAGTTTTTAATGCAAAAAGGAAGAAAAGAATGCAATATTTTGTTTTTTGCAGATAAAAGTAATATCCACTATTCATTTGTGAATCTTACCATCTGACGTCAATCCTCAATCATCCAAAATGCTTAATGAATTTTTGTTACATCTAAAGGAAACATTTCTTATAAGAGCAGATCAATTTTGTGCTGGCATGTTAATCTCTCTAGCTCTACTTCTTAATGTTTGTACTTGTGCAGTGTGATTTTCAAGTCATTTATGCAAGTGGAATTAAAGGAAAGGCTGGATTATCACCGGAAAATTTGGCTGATGATCTTGGACCCCTTTTTGAGTCCATTGTCAGATGCATACCTGGACCACGAATTAACAAAGATGGTGCACTTCAAATGCTTGTAAGTGCTTAGTTCTCTCTGTTTCCTATATATGATCACTTGCGTTTAGTTTGTTGCTTCTCTTGGATTAATGTGGGTACGGATAAGTAGTTATCTGTCCGTATAATTGTTTGTGAAATTCATTGGTCTTCAGTGTGGTTATCGAAGTTGATTTAAATTGCTGTGTGAATGCCACATATGGTGAGATGCAAATTTGAGATGAATTTGGTAGGTTTCTATTATTACTCTTTGGCAAACCATGTGTCAGAGAATAATGGTCTTTGCTGGATGGCAGCATTTTCTCCGAAAATAACAGTTATATTTGGTAGCATGCACTCTACTTAGTCAAGCTCTCCATAAAGGTCTAAGATATGGTTTCTGGAATTCTAATTTCTTAATGTTGCCAGTTTAAGTTAGTTCGGTGTACAGGGTTTAGAGAAACAAATGTCAGCATCTGTTGATCATTGGTTACTTGGTTGATCACAGTTTTGGTTTTTGAACATAAGTGCCTTTTTTATGAACCTTAGGCGCAATGTCTATGAAATCTAGCCTAGAGAGGCTGTGGCATGCCCGCGTATCATCAACTTGATATTAAGTGTGGGGTACATATTTAATGATGATGCCATTATTTAGTAAATTTTTGAAGGTCCGTTGATTTAATCCATAGCTCAGTGGCAGACTGCAGTCAAGTGGTCACCGGTTTGATACAATATTTTATCATTTTTCAATGTAATTATTACCTTTTAACTTGTGACGAAATGTGTTTGAAACACCTTGGCAGGCTGGAATTTACCTGCCTGACATTAAATTGACTTCCGTAAGTGAGTTAAGTAATGGTGAAATACCATAATGTGGAGTTTTTTAAAATTTCAAGTGGGGAATTATTGTCCAAGGGTCCATAGCTCAGTGGTAGAGCATTTGACAGCAGATCAAGTGGTCACCGGTTCGATCCCAGTTGGGCCCTTGATAAGTTTTTTCCATTTTTCAAAACATAATTACCTTTCACTAAACATGGTGTGCAATGTCTTTGAATTCTTCCATTTTTCAAAACATAATTACCTTTCACTAAACATGGTGTGCAATGTCTTTGAATTCTAGCCTTTACAGGCTGTGACTTACCCGCCCATCACTGTCTTAACTTTCGTAAGCGTAATATTTGATAATGATACCATAATTTTAAAATTTTTAATGTCCACTGGTGGAACAATTATCCAAGGCTCCATCACTCAGTGGCATATCATTGACTGCAGATCAAGTAGCACCGGTTCAATTCCGGTGGGTGCCTTGATAATAATCACTATCTTTTGTAGTTGGGGACTAATGTGAATGAAATTTTCACTGTCAAATTATTGCCCCAATCCTTAATTTTGGAGTTATAATTTGAAAAACAATCATCCATGGTCCAGAGCTCCTTGACAGAGTTGCTTATCAGCTGAATCAGTTTGATCCTGGCCGGGCCTTTGATAGTAACAACCATTTTTGAACTTGGTAGAGTAATTTGCATTATTTAAGAAGGCACTTTCCTTACCCAAAACGAGTTGTATTTCTGGAGAAACTATCTCCCGGATTATAATATACTTGCAGAACAATAGACTGTAGATCAAGTAAGTAGTCACTATTTTAAACCTGGTTGGCCCTTGATAGCTTGGCTATTTTTGAACAGTAATCTGCCTGCTATCTGCTCAAAGCTGATGTGATAATTGCATGTTGTGGATGAAAATAGAACTATTGTAATTAGGAAAAGATTTCATGAAGTCTTCGTAAAATGAAGATTTTGTGGTCTCAGGGGTTACTGAGAATAGAGCACAAGTAGCATTTAGGAGCAAATGCTTTCTTTTTCATGTTCTCTTTTATGATAATTATGAACTAATTGTATGCATTCCTGAACAGAGCTTAGATAATTTCACAACTATGTATACCATTTAAATAGTTAAGACCTCAGCCACATGATGAATGCTAGCGGATTCTTTTCTGAAAAAGCACATATGGTGAAATCATAAGACTGAATTGGCAAAGAAACTAGGAAATCCGAAAGGCAATCTGTTGTAAATTTTGCAGAGGAACTCTGTACCTGTTTGCCATTGCAAATCCTCATTTAATTTAATTATATGAAGTAAAAACAAGTAGCAAAATAGCATCAATTTTCCAATAGAAATTTAGTATTTTGTAAATCTAGCTTTTGAAGAAAAAACTCTTGCTGCCAATAAGGTGTTTCTGTTTCTTGTTTTTAGATGAGCATGATATGACTATGCGTTATTTACATGCATAACGACTCTTCAGGCTACAAATATTGAGTATGAGGAGCACAAAGGACGGATAGCTATTGGGCGTCTGCATGCTGGAACTTTGCAGAAAGGAATGGATGTACGGGTATGTTTTATTTGGAACTAAGAATAATAACTTTTAACATTAAAAAGAAAAAAAGGACGGATTTTTTTTCTTGGATTACATGTGCCTAATTTGATATTTGTTGCATACTAGTCTCTCTATTTCTTCTCTTTGTGATTCTTTGAGCCTTTATTGGGTATGGTAAACTCTGTGAATTCTTTGGTTGATTTCTCGTCATCCCAATTGCTGAGTTTGTAAATACGATGCGTGGGAGATTGATCATGACGCATGCTTTTTAGGTGCCACGTGTTGTTTTTTCTTTTGTCTATGACATGGTCAGGAATCCACAATGGATACAAAGTACGAATTAAAGAACTGCATTATCATTACAAAGCTTTTGTGTCATAAGGAAGGATCTTTGGCGTTGATTCTTTACCGCTATAATTATGTTTAAAAATAGCCAAAGTTCTGATACGCAGCGCTTGTTAGAAATAGTCAGTTCTTTTCTCTTAAATGTTATGCTCTTTGTTCATTTAGGTGTCTTCATTAATTGATCTCTTTGCAGATCTTTTAAAATTTATCTTTTGCTCCTGTTGATATTTTTTTTTTTTTGTTTCACAATTTTTAGATATGCACTTCTGAAGATGCATGCAGATTTGGAAGAGTGGGTGAACTTTTCGTGTATGAGAAATTTAGTAGAGTACCAGTAGAAACTGTGGAAGCTGGTGATATATGTGCTGTCTGTGGCATTGATGATATCCAGGTAGAACAATGCATATGCAATTTGTGGATTTCTTTAGTTTGATTATTCAGTCTTAGTTTATAAAATATGATTGACATGACATTCTTGTCTTAGATTGGAGAGACAATAGCAGACAAAACTTCTGGGAAGCCGTTGCCTTCTATTAGCGTGGAAGAACCTACAGTCAAAATGGCTTTCTCAATCAACACTTCCCCATTTGTTGGCCGTGCGGTATGATCAGTTAATAAACATGAAATTTTGAGGAATAATCAGTTAGTTGTTGAAATGTGGGAACTCTTATCATTATTGAAATGAATGCTTGTCACTATTTAAGAGAGCTATATATTACTTTAAACCTTAAATATGGTTTTAAAGTTTTGGTTGGATGTTTGTCCCACAAAAAGCTATTATCCCGAATGGATATTCTGTTTGCAATGTTTAAAATTTAGTCAAATTTATATATCTACATCTGACTTAAAAACATACTGTTTGAGAGAACTCCAATGCATGTGTCCTTTTACTTTTGTTTATTTGAGATTTATATAAGTCACGGACTCACAATATCCAAGCTCAATTCGCAAGAAGGATGATCTGCTTGATTTTGTGTTTGTCCAAAGGACCACGTAGATAGATATATACCACAATCAGGATTCCAATTAATTCTGCTACCGGGGTGTAAACCATTGACCATACACATGCAATGATCTTTGTTAAAATTTTTAATTAAATGTTTCCTGGGAAGAGAGGTTGGCAGTAGCAGCTGTGATGGTCCCTTGAAATTCTTCTGGAAAGTCCGAAACCTAGACTTGGATTTTCTCGAGAAGAACTAGTCAGCAAGATATTACTTTGCCATAAAGAATTATTGTTTTCCCAATTTTATCCCAAGTTTTTTGGTTTTCTTTTAGAAATCAATTTACAGGAAAGTTGATGTTCTAACACAGAAACTGTTTGCTGATGCTTTTAGGGAAAATTTGTAACTAGTAGAAATCTAAGGGATCGGCTCTACCGTGAACTTGAGCGCAATTTGGCTATGAGGGTCGAAGATGGTGAAACTGCAGATACATTCATTGTCAGTGGACGGGGAACTTTGCATATTACAATATTGATAGAGAACATGTAAGATAGAAAGTATCCTTTTTCATTTTTATTGTGGTTCTTCATATTCATTGATAAAGTTCTTTACATTTGAGTCATTGTATTTGTGGCCTATTCATGATGTGTAATCCTTATGTTTCAGGCGAAGGGAAGGATATGAATTCATGGTGGGACCTCCTAAAGTTATCAACAAAAGGGTACATGACAAGCTACTAGAGCCTTATGAGGTAACAATGACTGATGTCTTGTTAGAATACGCGTAATATTGCTGAGCATAATCATAGCTAGGATGTGCATGCCCAGATATTTATTCTTGCAACCCGGCTGCATTCTGCATCGTGATTTTGTTTCTTCTTTGCCGCTGTGCCCCACAGTCCCACTGCCTTTACTGCCGTTAATATGGGGCCTTTTCAATTTTGTGTACTCAGTTCTTGTTTGTCGATTATCTCTCTACCACACTTTTGACCTCATGCATGTACACAACTTCCTGGTTAAGCCCAAACTTAAACATGAGGATGCACCTTTGCTGACAATATCAATCAGACAAGGGAAGAGTTTGGATTCACTGTCACCACTGCAATCTGAATAACTACAATTTTTTAATAGTGAATCAGTGATGAAATCTTTTTTAGAAGTTATTAATCTGACTTGGGTTCCAGAATAAAATTTATGTCTTAAACAGCAGCTCAGCACTGAGGGCCTTAAAGTTGAATGGGTTGCTTTTCCCTGAACACACTTTTGCATTCTAAATAGATTTTTATGTTTGTGGAATTCAATTTCAAAAGTAATTTTTGCAGATTGCTACTGTGGAAGTGCGAGAAGAATTCATGGGCTCTGTGGTTGAATTGCTTGGTAAAAGGCGCGGACAGATGTTTGACATGCAAGGAGTTGGGTATGTAGATGTCCATGCCAATTTGAAACATTTATGTCGTATCCAGATTCCTCAGCATTTAGATCTTTTGGGAACTATTGCACTGGAAATAAAACTAAAGACTCTTTCTTTCATACTAGTTTCTTTGCACATCTTCAGTGGTCGTCGTGAAATTGGACCGGACTTGATAATTTTACCAGTGTCATGGTAGAATGAATTTCTATTATTAGGATTAGTTTATCCAAAACATTCTTTTTTCTTTTTGTTTTTTTCCCTCTTTTTCATGTCCTCTCTGAGTTTCAGCTCTCTGGGTCCTGTTTTTGTTGTAGTTCTGTGGAGGTATGTTAATGATCTTGAATAGGCAATTAGCTGTTTTCTACACACTGCTGTCAACAGTTATGAACTGTATATCTTTAGACATGAGCTTAAGTGCTGAGGAGCTGTCTGTTTTTGTGAATGTACCAAAGATCGGTTTCAAAGGTGTACCATTGTGATACTTTAAAGCATATTGCAACAGCAAGTACTTAAGAGTTGTTTTTGTTAGATATATGTGGAGTTGGGGAGGGAACCTTGTTATAATTGTCTGTTCATGCTGAAGGTAATGAACTAAAATAGATTGCTGGAATGCAATTGATGATGACTAACTATAAACAATTTTCCAGCTCTGGGAACATGGAATTGCTGGAGGTCATGTAATTTTGAGCCATGTTTTACTTTTGAGGACTGATTTCCTGGTCTCCTGCATTGCAATAGAGAGAAAACTAGAAACATGTGCTCTTTTGTATTACTTTAGACTATTTCACGATGAGTTGCTTTCCTCATCATGTCATGCTGACTGATGCTTGCTGTAATATTATTGAACCAATGTTCTTTTGCTGTTTTGATTTTTATTCTTCGATGCATCATATCTAATCTTTGGCCCCAACTCATCTGATCTTCATACATTGAATAGGTCGGAAGGTACAGTTCTGCTCAAGTATAAGATACCAACTCGTGGTCTTCTTGGATTGCGAAATTCGATTTTGACAGCCTCTCGTGGTACTGCTATACTTAACACAATCTTTGATAGTTATGGACCTTGGGCTGGTGATATATCTACTCGTGATCAGGGATCTTTGGTAATTTCTCCATTACATGGCTTTCATCCATCTGCAAGGTTTAATGTTATGTGTGGATTTAAAAGTTTCAATATCTTATCAGAAACATTGTGTTTATGGCTACGGAGTGTTAGTGAAATGAATGACTGAAGAATGGGCTTTTAGTTTTTTTTGGCTCTTAAATATGAAATCAATGATTTAGAAGTCCTTAGTTACTTTTCCTCTTGGTTAAATTCAAATTCTTTTCAATGACAGACAGATAGCTTCTTTGTTCAAAGTATAAAGTAGTGGTTGGGTTTTCCTTGATTTGTTTGAGTGCAATGACGGCCTTGAGCCATCCGGACTGACTGAAATGTTGTCCATATTCTCATAGGTTGCATTTGAGGATGGAACAAGTACATCTTATGCACTTGCAAGTTCCCAAGAGAGAGGACAGATGTTTATTGGTCCTGGTGTTGATGTTTATAAAGGTCAAATAGTTGGGATTCATCAGCGGCCTGGAGACTTGGCGTTGAACGTTTGCAAGAAAAAAGCTGCTACGAATGTTCGTTCCAACAAGGAAGTATCAGGTAAAGAAGCTTCTGAAAGATTGCATAAACTGTTGTGTAACATGATCACGTACCTTTATCTTTAGCTCGACTTTGTTTCAGCATAAATAGATTTCTTCAGATCCATTCTGTTTGAGGAAACTATCATGTTTGTTCATATGCTGATGTACTTTTTCCTGGGTGGGCATTAACGAAGAACCTGCTGAATTTTTCTTATTATTATTTTTTTTTTTGTATTTGGAAGTGGAGAATCTGCTGAAGTTGAATAACTGGCAACTTTCTTATCCTTTCCCTGCATTGGTTTTTCTAGCAATATACCAACTAAATTAACGAAGATTAATAATGGCAGAGACTAGATAGAGATAAATGATGAATGCATTAGTAAAAGAAACACATAGATCTAACGGATGAGAAAATTAGATAGCCCTGGCTTGAATGTCTTTAAGATGCCAGCGTGCATTCTAGGAAATAGAGGATTAATAAGCCAAAATTGCAAGTGGAATGAAATGCCCTGATACATCTATTCCTAAATGAGAATTTTGCTTTTACACAATATTATGATGGGAATGACCCATCATAGATAGAGGGAAAAAGGTTGTTGAAATGTAGTTGTGTTCTTCAGCGACGCTGTCCACATGGAAAATGATCATATCTGTCTTTGGTTACAACTCTCTTTCTAATGAAAATTAAATAGACATTATACGCTGACAATTGACCTTAACGTTGAGCTTGTTGCAACTTAATGATATGTGTCTAGGGACTTTGTGGTTCTCAAGCATTAGTTCTTCCTCAATTTTATACATCTTTACTGAGAAAATATATCTGTATTGCATTCATTAATTTCAAGAAATTTACAAGCTGCTCCAAAATGCACTACTTAATATACTTGTCTCATCTGTACATGCAGTGGTTCTTGATACCCCATTGGATTATAGCTTGGATGACTGCATCGAATATATTCAAGAGGATGAGCTGGTTGAAGTTACTCCAGCAAGCATTAGAATGTGCAAAAACCCCAAATTTGCCAAAAAGGGTGGGGGCAGGAATTGAGATCTAACCGCAAGGGGGCGATAATAAACTTTCAGGATTGGTATAACCTTATCATTCATCTACTCAATCAGTTATATCCTAGGATTTACAGAAATCACATACCGAACTTTTTCTGAATCATCTCATGTTAAGTGTTCCAAGCCTCTGATTCATAGTACATAGGCCAGTATTATGTTTCACAGTTTCGCATGTAGTCGTAGAGTATAGATCCAGAAAGGCATACAAGCTAGTGAATCCAGAAGTTTCAGGCAGCAAATTGGGATGTGTATAATAGTAGCTAGAAAACTACGCTGCGTGGCCGGAGACTAAGGTCAGGTGGACATGGTATATATTCTGGTATACCTGAAGTTTAGGTTTTCTACATTAAATCATTTCTTGATGAATAGCGAAGATCCATTCTTGTTCTAGTCGTTGACCGACAGGAATCATTTCTCTGCATCTCCCAGACTATTACATACCATGTAAAAATCTTTCAGGTTATTTACGAAGACATAAGCTCTTTATGGATCGTGATCTTATTTTATTCTCGCTCACGATAGTAGCCACTATGGTTAACAATTCTATGGTTCAGTCGTCGTTTTTTTTATTGAACCATCCAGTTTAAGTATAACCAATTAAAATGTAGTTTGTATAAAATATTAAAACGTAGTTTGTATAAAATAATTATGAGGTGATATGTATTTTAGCAAATTCTGCACTTACTAATCAAGGGAATTTTTTCCCCACTCACCAAAGGCAAAAAAAAAATTAATAGATCGCTCTCTTCTTTTGCGTTTCAATACGTTGTTCTCTCCCTTTTTTCTTACCCACTTATTCTGCTTCAATTTAATGAATTTCGTTCAAATTGATTTTAACTTTTTCTTCCACCATAAACTCATGTAGTACGATTTTGTTAATCATAATCAAATTGACCATGAGTCGGTGATAGTTATAATAAAATTTATTTTATTATAATTTTATAGGCATAATTTGATAATATTGTGGAGATTTTTGATGGATTTTATTATTTTTTTTTATGTCAGGTAGTAAAATTATGAAAAAATAATTATTTTGAGCTTTTTGGCGCTATTTTACAAAAAAGTGATTCTTAAAACAAGTCATGAATCTTTAATATATTTCCACTCTAGGTCATCAATTAAATTTATTTGTAACATAGGTTAACTTATTAAAGTTTTAATCCATTTCAGATTATTCTGTTAATTTTGACCGTTAAATAGTGACGGAAATCTATTTTTTCACATGCTTTTGGGTTCAAGGATATTTTTGTCATTTTTTATTTCTTTATTTTTTAATCTTTTAAAAAATTTAGTTTTTTTTTTTTGTTACAATTCTTCTTCTTATACTTCATAACTTGTATGCACTGGTAGTATAATTCTAAATTTTAAAAATTTATTTTCCTTTTGTATTTTAATTTCTAGATTATAAATTTTTAAAAAAAAAATTTAAGAAATGAAGAAGAAAAATTCGAGTTAAAGTAAATATGAAAATTAATAATTTACCATTTTAAACAAAAAAAAAATTAAAAGAATGGTTTTCTGAGTTTCTCCTTCTATTAAAGGCAACAACCTTGTTGCCTTAGTTTTCTATAAAAGTTTCTAGACATCTTGGGAGAAAGAGAAACAGATAGTTTTGGTAAGTTCATTTGCGGGAGAAAAAAGTAAGCTAATATACATTTTATGTTTTGTTTATGGATAGAATGGATTTTTTTTTGGCTGAAATTTTGGATGCAAGTTCTTCTCGACTAGCTGTTTGAGTTCAATTATTACATTTTTTAGTTTCGTCTCTTTATTGTGAAATCTTTCAAACCACTTAGAATTGAAAGCGTGTTTTGAAAGAAATATGGTAGTTGTTCTTAGTTATCCACCTTTAGATATTGTTGTATATAAAAACTTGTGATTCTCGTTAACGATATAGGACAATTTGACTAGACAAGGTAATGCTATTTAAATATGATGAGTAATATTTAAATTTTTTGAGTCAATTATTAATACGAGTTTTTTTTATTTGTCATTACTATGAACATGTAATTCATCTTTGAATCATAAGATCACATACTCACTCATGGTTCTTTCGGTGGTCTATGTTGGTTCGAGTGTCAAACATATATTAATTTATATGTTAATTGGAAAATGTCTGAAGGTCTACTACCAGTGTCAGGGCTATGGAAGAGGTTGATTTTGAAGAAAGTTTTTGTCAATATAGAACATTTTCAATTATCTACACTTATAAAATAGTTTATCCTTCAATATATGTCAATCTAAATATTTTGGAGATTCAAAACTATTTAAGTTTATAAAATGTGTATTTACATGGTATGGTTCACTGGAATATGATGAAACAAAGTTATGATATGATGCTTCGAATCATTCAATTTCTGATTTCTTCCTCTTCGATTCAATCGATGGCCTCTTCAATTCAGTCAATAGATTTAGTTGATGTATGTGCTGTTACTGATATTGCGAGTACCGCTTTCTTTCTCCCGGTACTCGAAGGAAATTTAGAACTCAAAGGGAAACCAGAGAAGAAGAAGAAGAAAAAACTACAATAGAAGAATTACTTGTTGGAGCTTGGGATAATCATCGTTCATCCAACCACACTTGCTGTTGTGGACAAAAAAGGTGGTTCTTTAGGCCTCGTTATCCCCAGCAAGTGAGCAACTGATTCGAAGGGCTGAAAGAATATGAAGAGGAGGTTGCGCCATTTGGTTCAAATAAGGAGAAAAAGTATTGTGAACATATTTATCAATTTCTCAATGATCGGATTTGGCTAACGTTCGGCAAAATTGATAAAATCAAATTCGGACATTATTTAAGCGGGTTAAAGAATATTTTCCTGAATTAATAGACATGTACCTGTGAGGTTGATGTTTCATACTAAGTCGGAATGACTTATAAGATGCCGGAATTTAGAGAGCCCAACACAGAGCGATTTTGTTTAAGTCTAGAGAGCGTGATGAACCTTCTTAAATTGGATTGTGTACAAAAACATTGAGCGCTTAGTGATTGTGAAAACGTTATTGAGGTGTTGAAGGGCTTGGGTCTGCCGAAATAACAAATGCAAGGTTACGCGGTGATCATGTTCCCCCACTAACAAGAACTAAAAGAAAAAGAGTGGATACAGGGTATAATGTACTTTGTTAGTTCAGACATAATGATATTGGTTTACACTTTTGATTACTGGATTCCTAATTTGGTTCAATATCTTTTGAGGCATCTATATTTTTTTGTCCTGAATAATATTGGAATAATTTCACATGGGTAGTTTTGTTCATCTCTTTGTTTTTTGCTTTTTAATGCTCTGGTATTGAGTCCTGGTTGTAGTTGTTCAGAGGTTTTTGAGTTTTAATGCTATATATATATACACACACGTATATAATTACACCATTCACACGGCACATAGATTGAATAATGTAACAATATTTTTGACACCTTAGCTTTAATTACCCGGTAGTAACTCTTGCTATTTGAGAATTTTACAAAGTATTAGGTCATTGGTTCCTAATATTGTCTGCACTCTACATTACAGTATTCCTGTACTTACTAATCTTGCCAGTAGAACTAAGCCATCCTTTTCTTAAATTCACGGCATAAGGTTACTTGCACCGATCGTATCTTCATTGGAAAGATCCGATTCAATTGTCGATTGGAAGTCCGTGAAGCTAGGTTCTTAATTTTTGTATTGAATTCAGACTTTTGATTCTGTGTTTGATATGTTATAAGTGATAGTAATACGGTAACGATAATGAATTCAACCGAAAAATGGCAACTGTTTCTACTAAATTTTGATGTGTAGAGAAATAACTCCTCAAGTATCACATGACTAGCAGTATTGCATCCAAGAAGAAACCATTAGAACCATTGCATACTATTTAAGTGTTCATTTTTTTGAATTCTTCTAAGCACTGCGTTATATGTGGTGTTGGTTCTTAAAAGATTTTCTTGGCAGCTGTTTTTCTAGTATTGGTGCCCCTGATGTTGTTGCGAATGTGGAGATAAAAGTTAGAGTTGAAGAGATGGATATCCGTATTGGAAAGCCACCAAAAGTTGATATATCGGCTCTGAGACAGAATTATAATTCTCCAGAATTGCTTGAGGAGCAAGTTCAGGCTGATCCTTTTGATCAGGTATCATCTCTTGTCAATCTTAAATTGTCCTGATTTATTTGAAATTTTTATCCAGATCATTTTTCCTGAGGTATCTGGAATAGTTAAATATATACATACCAATTAATTAAGAAATTCTAACTAAATGTGTCCCTACAATTCTAGAAGTGGTTTGATGATGCTCAGGCAACAGGCTTGAAGGAACCAAATGCGATGTCCCTGTCAACTTCTGTCAGTGATGGAAATCTATGGGTTTCTTTGCATTGCGTATTTTTTCATTTTCTGGTTGGTGACCATTCAATTATCCTAGCATGTGTAGTCTTCTGATGTTTAATATGGATATTATCCCTTTGGCATTCAAATAGAAAAAAAAAATATGATATGATTTGCGGTAAAATGAAAAAATAAAATAGAACATTATGATTTTTACATTCGAACTAATTTGGTGAAACAATTCGTATCCATTTTTCTTTTCTATTTATTAATTATATTTTTCTTGTTCATCTACTTTTGTAATGGAGAAGTTAGAGCATATGGTACGGTGTGATGGTAGAGAATAAGTTGTCTTTTTATTTTTGTTTTTTAACATGAAGTGGTGATATATAGAGGGAAAATATTACAAAATAACGAAAAATGATATGTCAAAAATCTACTATCCCCAAAACCTTAAGTGCATAAAACCTAAATGAAAAATGAAAAAATAAGTGGATGTGATATAATCCACATTATCTTTTCTTACTTTCTTTATAAATTATTCATTGTATGTGCCAGTAATCTTTGTCCATTTTTGAACTGTGGAAGAAAATTGAGACAAACTGTTCAAAACACTTAAAAAGTTAAACTTGATAATGTTTTAATAAACAAAAAACAAAACAAATTTATCTCTTTGATACCTAAGTTTAGAAAAGCACGCTAAGAGCAAAATCAACTTTAATTTTGAACATAATAATTCTTGCAAGAAACAAAAAAGAAAAAAGAAATTTACTTATATGCTTAGGATAAAAAATCAAAAATATCATGGATATATTGAAGTGGCTGAATTTCTCCCTAAATAGAAAAAGAGAACTAGGAATGGCCGAAGTTATTCCCAAAAGCCAAGAACAAGTCTTATTCGGTTTTAATTTCCATAGTTTTCTAAAATAAAAAATTATTTAATACTAAATAATTATAAATATCATAATTGAAAAAAATAAAAATCGTATCACAAAGAAAATTCATAGTACTAAATGGTGAAGTGCCTTTTAAGTAAATACATACATGTTTATGGAAACATTTGAAACCATACAATTCCCAAATGAGACCAACTATCTAGACTAGAAGTTGATATAGATCTCCAAGTCTAAGACCAACAAATATGTTAGAAATTAGTATGACTAAATAGGGTTTTTATTATAGGTTAAGAGAAGTCACATCACATAATTTAACAATCTCGATCAGTAGTCTAAAATCGCCCCAAAGTATTAGATATTAAAACTTACAAAGAAAATTTAAAATGTCTTCTAATAGTGTAATTTCATCATAACCTACGGAAGAACATTTAACTTTGAGTATAAGTACACTTGGTCTTAAATCGATCATGCAAAGTGCGAACTATACACAAATCAGGAATCATAAATAATGTCAATATATATATATATATATATATATACATGAGAATCATGCTTCCTTTTTTTAAAAAAAAATAAAACAAACCATTAGATTAGTTTGCCCGTCTATATCCATACATAACTTTTCAATATTAATAGGTTTGAATTAAGTTTTTTCAATGGAAATCAGTCACTAGGAAAACATATTCAACAATCAAAGAAGAGTGTTTCATTTGTCCGCCAAACCATCTTCCACACAATCTTTCACACAGTCCATGATTGAGTCTAAGTCCCCATCCAGGCCTCCTTCCCCACTATGATTATGGTGACTATGACCATGGTGACAATTCTTCCAAGCAAAGTATAAGTTGGCGAGGGCAGTGGCTAGTTGATCACATTAACAGTAACGGCGATGTCGTCTACAAATTTAGAAAGATACGAGGGGGAGTATGGATCTTTGGTCCCGGAGGATGCATTCTCAAAGTAGGGTAATATCAATGCGGTTTCAGGTTTGATTCTAGCATTCGGAACCACATCAAGGAAATCGCCAAATACTTTTTCAATTGAAGGGGTGAGTCGATGATCAATGTCGCCTGTGAGATTGGATATTTCTTTCAAAGTTAGGCCAAGTGACCATAAATTGAAGCTTGGAGATAAGAAACTTGATGAGGTTGTGTTGGTGTCGAAAACCTCCGGAGGAGCATAGGTGTAACTCATACCGAACTTGAACCAGCCATCCTTGGTTCCATAGAGGAAAACATTAAAACCCTCATTCTGGACCTCCACAGCGAAATCGAATCCCGTAAAGTGCATAGCATCAGCAGGAGAGGTCAGAGCAGGGGTTTTCTGAGTAAAATACTTACAATAATCCTCACGATTATTAAAAACATAAGACCACATTTCTAGGGCATATACCTCTGTGGGTGACTCCAAAATGGTGGGTGCAACTTAACACCTTTGAAAAGATCAAAAACTAAACCTTGCAGTGCCTTCACATATATAAAGGAAGCCTTAACCTCGTTGGATGAGGAGGTGCGGAGGCTTGATGAGTGTCTGCCATAGATATATATATGAGAAACCAAATGACATACCATGATATGGGAAATCACATATATGTGGTTTTCCCGTAGATATATTTATGAGATCATTCTTAATATGCAAAAAGTTGGATGGTGATCCTTCAAGTATTAATGTATTTGTAACGAAAAAAAGGTGGTAACTATAATAGTGAAGAAACCTAAAAAGGTTGTTAAACTCATTAATTCATTAGAGAGAAAAGAAAAACCTTATCCACGGGACATCATGATCCCCTTCCTCTCACCCGTACCCCCGTTCTCGTTTAAGAAAAAAGTAAAACCATGGATCTAAGGGTAGCAATCAGACAATGGTAGTTCTAAGAAATTCAATTATGGTACGTATTCTTCTTTCAAAAAAGTTCTGTCTATTTCTATGAGAAAAAAGAACATTTTTAATACTCCGATTAATATAACAAGGTCTTTATTTTAAAATTAAGATGCAAATAATAATTTGAATCCTTGATATCAAAACCGATAGAGTTTAAGAAAAATTCAACACTATAAGATACGAAACCAATGTCATTTCATTCTTTTCTTTAAACAATCAACCAAATGATTTTGGAAAAGGAGTGAAATGACTGCAACTGACTAAATAGTACTCCCTCCGTCTCGAAATTATTGTATACTGCGGATTTTCATTTTTAGTTTAAATTGAACTAAAAATGAAAATCCAAACTGTACAATAATTTTAGAACAGAAGGAGTATATGATGATCTAACTCAAGTCACTCCAAATCATACGTCATAACACCATGAAATTATATCCCATACATCCACTGTATTAAAAGTCAAATAATTAAGAAAGAGTTCATGATTTCCAAATTAGAAAGATACGAATGTTATTATATTATACGTATACTATAAATATATAAATACGTAAAGATTTTATAACTAAATACCCACGGTTAGTTCACTTCATCATTACTCCCTCTCTTGAAAGATGATCATTACCAAGAACAAGAACAAAAAGGCCCTCGCTGAGATGGAGTGGGATGTTCACCATGCCATCATTGTGGAATCGTCGTTTTTGCATTCCCCGAATACAAGGTGCATGAAACCAATTTCTTTGTTTAGTTTGATCACTTTATAGAATTTTATTTAGAGGAATTATGAATCTAATGCCTTATTTAATTTAGAGTTTGTCAATATCTCTTTTATAATATACTCAATTAACTCATCTTACCATCGAAATGCATTTTTTAGGTAGTTTTTTCTCTTCAGCGATTTTTAAAGTTTTTTTAATTTTTTTTTTTAAAATCTGGTAGTTTCCTATTGTTATCTGTTGAACTAATTCGTGGCTACTTTCCTTCGGATGTTGTTAGTTAGTGTGTTTTAGTGCGTTTAAGGAATGGATGTGGTGAGTTAAGCTCGTTTGTTGAAAAAACTTGGCAAATGTGGTACCTTTCATTTTCAGGATATGGGATCTGTAAAAATGACTACCTTTTGAGTTTTGAGTTTGTTTTTTTTTTTGGTAAAATAGTTTTGATGGGATTTCTAACAATGACTACCTTTTGAGTTTTGTGGTTTTGTTGGGTTCTGCTTTAAGACTTGAGTTTTGGACATTTTAAACATGAATATGTTCTTGTTCCTGGCTTTTTCTTTCTGATGAAACCTTATTTGGGCTTTCATGGTTTGCAAATTAAAGTTCTAAAGCTCTAACATGAAATCATATTATCCGTTTGCAATTTTCTATTCTTTTCTTTTTCTTTTCTTTTTGTTCCATTATCAGGATGTCCCGCTTCCTATATTTTTTTCGTTATTTATTTATTGATTCAAGTTGATTGAGGATTCTTTATTTTGATTGGGAACATAGGCTAAAGAAACAAAATTATTTTTTTATACTATTGATGTTATCATTTTGTTATGTGAAAATATTATTTTATCTAATTCAACCCTTGATAAAAGATAAGCTCCCAGGCTTACTGCTTTGTTCAATGAAACAAATACCTAAGAAAGATATATACGGTCTTTTTACATATGTAAAAATTTTAGATTTAATAGACCTTATTCAACATAAGCCTTGTTTGAGAATATTAACTAAAACCCCGATATGTCCCGTTCAACAACTACTAAGAATGGATTATAAAATGTGATACTAAATTTTATATAGAGAACTGCCCAGTGTGCTCCAAGTCCCATTTTATTTATTTAACACAATAACATATACTACATGAATCATACATGAAAAAAAAAAAAAGAATCATCTGTGGCAATCAAAATGTATTTTGGAAAAAATATTTTGAAAGGCTACCAAAGGAGTCGATACCGAAGAACAATAATACATAGTACACTTGTATTTCCTTTGGAAAAAGAACGCCAACCTAAAAAACTTGTGGATTGGTTTTGAATCGTAGGTCCACTATTGGGTCTGAAAGTTTTTTGTTTGTTTTTAATTTTTGACCCTTGGATCTAAAAGTTTTTTTAAAAATTATTGCCAATTTTAAGAACTATTACATCTTTTGATCTAAAAGTAATTAAGAAACATGTTTTATTTCAAATTAACGTACATAATGAAATCTTTCAATTGACATCCATAAAACATATTTTTTCAAGCATATTTCTTATTTCTAATATAAATTAAAACCGATAAGTGTGACCGTCGTTTCCTGCTGCTCAATAAAAAATTATTTGCCATAAAGGGTCATCAAAATAAAGGAAGAAAGTTTTTTCAAATAATTTTATATAATTAATCAGGAATCAATCAAGCAAAACAACTACTTAGAAAGTGGAAGAAAATCTAATCATTCCCAACATTAAATAAAGTTTCTTCCAAAATCCAATGAAAGACTCATATGAAACTTCAAGTATTTAACCATATAAATTAATTGCTAAAAGATAAAATTGGACAAACAGAGGCTAACAAGAAAATTTTAAACACATTGAATAACAATTCAAACAAGGGTTATGCAAATAATTCAAAAATTCATGGAAATGAATAGACTTCAGTTGTCACGGATGCTATCGACGTAAGCAAAATAGTGGTTATAGATCATCCGTTCCTTTGTGTTCAAGGTGGAGCACAACCTATCCCTTGCGCTCCAGGCAACGAAAAGTGTTAAACCAATGTAGAGGTGCCACTTGATCTCACCCTAAATGGATGAAAACAAGTACCAAATTCTATCCGTCATGGATGAAGATATTTTATGAGGTTCGATGTTTTAGCAAAAATAAGATATATTCTGAATACAAGAGCCAAATTCTACTGTTATTGTAATTTAGGGTTAACTATGTTTTAACCTCGACTTTCGACACCATTATCAATAAAAACTCAAGTATTGTTAGTACTACATTTTTGCTCATCAACTCATGCTTGATTTTCGGAGTGATCTATGCTTATAAAAAATGTGACCCAACTAATGGTCGGTAGCAAAAAGTATAGTCTAGCCCATTATGAAGTTATAGTATATTTAGATGGTTTCATATTTATCCCTTTTTTGGGTCAATAGTGATGTCCTACTAAACTAGATGGTCAAGAAAGCTCGTTTATTTATCCCACATCAGTGGGCGAAAGAGGAAGTGGCCGTTTTAGAAGCTTATTAGTATTGGACAATGGATATTGAACATTTCATACTTTTTCTCCCTTTAAGATCTTATTATGGATTTTAATATTGAACAATGGATATTGAATGACTAGTGAAATTTACTAAGTTTGATCCTCACTTGGATATCCGCATAGATTCTGATGTTTCTAAATGCTTTGTTTCTTGCTACACTAGCGGTACATTCATTTTCAATTGCCTTTACAGACGGTGGAATGTTTCACAACACCTATTCAATTCTTGGAAGAGAGTTAAAAAACAATCTATAAATTTGCACCTCGTCATTTATCAAGATTTTGGACTGCGGTGATACGAATTTGAGTATGATAAGATTATGTTGAATTTATCAATATTATCTTCATTAATTGTGAACTTGGAAGAAACACATGATTTTGTTTCTGATGTCAGTGATAGTTGAGCATTTTTATGTATCATTATATCATCACAGACAATGATATAATTGTTCCGATTGAAAATCGAACGTTACAAAACAATTAGGATATATGCATCTCTAGGGATAAATGGAGTCTTATTCTCCGGCGGCGAGAATTTTCCCATATGTATGTTTACGTGAGAGGCCAATAGGAGTGAGTCTTTAACCCCGTTCCTCCCCCCCCCCCCCCCCAAAAGAGGCCATTTATGTAAGACAAAAGGCAGATGCCCATTAGGATTATGTTTTGATTTTTGTTTTTCCTTTTTTGGTCCTAAGAGCAACTCCAACCAAGAGTGTAAAGTTTTCACTCCAACGAACACACTAAATTATTACATTATTTTGGTGCAATAAATAGTGTTACTCCAAATTTGGTGTAAATTATCCATTACACTATTTTTAGTGGACTATCTTTTTACTTAGATCTAAAGATATATTTGCAATGCAATTAAACTTGTAAAAAAAAATTATGTTAAAAAAACTATATCATATTAAATATTTTGTTGAAACCTACAAAATAAGACCCATATTGAATATAAATTTTTATTTTTTCAAAAAATAATTTTTTGTTATTATTAAAATTGAGTATGAAAAATAAGTAAAAAAATTTGATACTTCTACAATCAAATAAAAATCGATTATAAGAAACAAATTTCACAAAATTACATTATTTTGATTAACTACAAAAATAAAATTTAAACTAAAACATATAATAGATAGACATTATAGTGCATCAAGGTTGGAGTGTAAAGAACTTTAGTATAAAAAGATGCTTAGGCTCTGTTTGGTTGCATTGAATTGGGACCAAGAATTGGAATTGGAGCCCTCAAATTCCAATTCTTGTGTTTGGTTGATA